CAGCAGGAGGCGCCTCGGCGGGGGCAGCCTCGGGCGCCGGCTCTGCTGGCTTCTCCTCTTTTTCAGCAGCCTTCTTGGCTGACTTTTTGATAGGTGCTGGTTTGGCTGGCATGATGCTTGGGGAAAACTCTACAGGACGGCCGGTCTTTGAGAAAGTCTTTTGGGACGTTCAATTTATACCGACTAGGGGACTCCTCCTCTTCTTTAAATAGCCTTGACAAATCTGTTCTCATCAACTCAGGAATAACCGTAAACGGGTCTCACTTCATTACTCAAGCTATTAGTATCTATTAACTCAGCATCATGTAGCTTATTTCGTGACTAGAGTTCAAATATTTCAGACTACAATTTTACTTGACCTTTCTCATTTTTTAAATCACTCCTTATTGAATTTAATCCTAGCTTTTGAAATGTGGCGCCCTCTTTCGTCTAAAATTGCAAATGCAAAGTGCTGTCCTTACTGCAGGTACAAAATTAAGACACTTGAGGGAGACTAATCTAAAAACGACTAACCTCTCACACTAGCATTCTCTGTTCTTATGACTGGTTTTATTTTTATTTAAAAAAGACCCTGTAACACTTGCACTCTCTATTCTATTTCCATTCCTACTACTAGTTTTCTTTAAAAAAACGCCTCTAACACTAGCATTCTCTATTCGTTTTCTTCTTATAAAAATTACCCTCTATAACACTAGTATTCTGTTATTTTTCTATTCTTTTGACTTGTTTTATTTTTAAAGACCCTCTAACACTAGCGTTCTCTATTCTTTTTCTATTCTACTTGTTTGTTTAATGCTTGCTACGTGTACTGCGTTAGGCTAACTGAGACTTGTCACATCACTTACATATTATTACCCCTGTCCTCATTTGTAAATCGCTTTGGATAAAAGCATCTGCTAAATGACTAAATGTAAATGTAAAAAATAATTTTAGAACAGGAATATTTGTGTTGAGAGATTTAGTGATAAAAAATACAAACAGCTGTCATGTTCTATTACATTAATGTAATAATTGCCAAATAACATTTTTTAAATCTGAAATAAAAGCACACAATCAATGTAGGGATGGCACGAGTTTATTGGAAACGTGAGTGAATATTTGATGGAAGAAATTCTCTCAGATCAGCACATGCCTTCATAACCCCCTTCCAGCAGACAGTTTGCAAAAAATAATAATAAAACCAACAATAACAAAAGGTGTCTCATGATAGGGCCGGATCTTTTCATATTTTACTGTGATTGTGGTCGCGGATGAGTTTACTATTTACAATGTTTACAACTGCAATGTTCTATACAAAATAGAAAGATTTATTAAAGAGAAAGCAGGAAAAAAAGAGGAAGAAGAACAAAAAGAAAAACATATTTTGTTTGAAATCCCAGTGGGACAGGTAGGTCCAATGTGTTTTTCCAGACAAACAATGGTGATACACATCAACATTAAAACATCATCAAACCTGCACATTAGCTTATTACATATACCATTGTTTTCTGTCATTGGTACTAACAACTCAACTCTACAATGTTATTCCAACGCTGCATAGTGACAAATCATGAATCTGTTTTGACTAAACAATATTGAACCCGTTTAATCTAAAACAAGTGGGAAAACATGAGTTTATAAAGCACAGGTTTTGTATTATTAATGTGCCTGCTTGAACATTCAGCATTGTTAGTCGTAAAACAGTAAAAAATTATTGAATAAATTAATCAAGACTTAGATTACCCATTTTAGGTTGTCCAAACTGTATCAGTTCATATGCAAGACAGCAGATATGATAAAGCACACTGTACTATGATGGCAAATATATCTGAGAGACAGTGGGAAATGGCTTTAGTTTGTGCTAGCTGGCAAAGCAGCCTCGATTTCCAGGACATTTGGAAACGAGACTACCGGCGAGCTCAAATCTCAATGTTATTTATAAGCTAGCATAAAAAAGGATAACACGTTCGCTCGCATTCTTATCCTCCACAGCAAACAATCCCTTGCAAAACATAATAGTTTAGGTATTGCAATGTCCAACGAGTTGGCTTATATTAGGCACATTTTCATGACAAACACTGGGGAATCTTCCCCAAAGCCCCAAACTATCCTTAAGCGGTTAAGGGAAGTTTATGATCATACGATGTGCTGTTAAGACAGATTTTGAGGTACTTGTGTGAGCTGAAGCACCGCTAAAGCACTTAATTTTACTGTTTTTTAATGGGTTGTTATGGCCAACTCAATCGTAAAAGCCATTCAATACCTTGTACGATCCGGAAGAGAATACAGAGGACACTTTTATAGTGAAACATGTACATAGGCAACATGATCTAGTTACTTTGTGGCAGTTAACTTGCCTCTACAGGAAAGGCGATAACTGAGAGATGACCGCGATCCTCGCTGTAATGTATATCTAACCAGACACATTCAATTCATAGTTGTGATATTTTAACCTTGCTCTGTTTATTCTACCCTAGATCTTTTTTGTTTGTTTTTTTTTTTTTGGCAATTTTTTTGTAAATCTATTTACAAATGTCAGCCTTGGATTCTTTAGTAAAAAACAAACACGTACAAAAAAAGACCTTTAAAAAAATGCTCCTCTGGTTATTCATTTGGAGAGCTACATCTGACAGTAACAGGACACGTAAACACGAGCACAAGAGGCGGCAAGCATCATCAAGAGCACTAGGTGTGTTGGCAAACTTAAGTTTTGATCCAATTTACATTCTGAGATTACAACGGCACAGTTTCATTGCTATAGTGCTAGTACTAACCGGTTAGTACATATACATGAGAAATTCAGTTTCAGTTTGGTAATTTAGGTTAAAAAAATCACTTTGCTCTTGTAGACTGGTTGCCAACACATCCGTTGGCGTCTTTTTTAGCTATAATGTTCCTCAGAGTTAAAGCTTTCATGCACATACAGATCTGGAGCACCTGTAATCAGCCAATAGCAAACGCATTCATGAGTTACAATCCACCATTGTTATTTTTTTTATGTGAATTGAATCACAATATATTCTGTCAGTGTTACAATTGTTACTGGAATGATTTGAGAGTTTGTAAAAGACCCTGACATGGGGTCGTCCTGTGACTTGAAGTTACCAGAAATAAAAACAAATGCAATGTTAAATCCAAAACTGGCTACATTGATACAAAACACCAAAGGACATAAGTGCGTGTAAAACTGTAAGCGAACACTGATGTGATTGAACCTCTAGACATAACAAAGGCCAAACACAAATGACTAAACCTCCTCCAGACATAAATTGTTTAAACAATTTTGGCTTTGTTCACACTGCAAACAATCCTGATCTGTTTTCAAACCCAATCTATCTGCATCTTATTTGGCAGGAGCTCAAATTGGTTTCATTTGTTCAGGCAGTGGAGTCAATATCCAGTATATTTACTGCCCTGTTTCCACCTTGTATTAACATGTGTTTTTGGTGATCCGATCACAAGTGTCCTGTACTAAGTACAGGTGTAAACAGGGTCTAAAACTGTGATCGAATCACTGAAACCACAAATGGAGGTAGTCAAAAATGCATGTGACCACATCACATTTACAATGTAAATTCCTATTTGTCCTGGATGCCTAGACGCCACCCACCCTTAACTAACACATGATCGTTTTGAGACATGTTGAAAGATAGCACACAAAACAAGTGACTCGAACTGAAGCTAAAGCTTAAGCAATTTCATCATAAACAAGAGATTATGATCCAAATTGCAGAATCCCAAAATAAAAGGGGAATTACTCAGCAAAATCCAATCACAAAAGGTCACATTAGATGCATTTGAAATGCATGTTAATACCAGGTGGAAACAGGGCCTACATTAGTTGCTACAGTAATGCTACAGCACAAAGCCAAGTGGGTTTGGGATGTCAGTGAGAACAAAGACTTTGATTATCTTGATAAGGTCAAATGCACTGGATGCACATAGATAATTACTGAAAGTAAGATGTTGCATACTGTTCTCGTGCACCGGTAACAGCACCTCTGTTATTACTGACCACGATTAAATCGCCTGAGGTCGCCCTCCGACTGTATCAGGCGGTGCATCACATGAGCCCTACTGCAGTCATGCTCAGCTTTGCTTCATTTCCAAGTGCCGCCTTAAAGTTTTGTAGGCAATATTCATTTTCATTTTCTGTTCTCCCATTGGTAGACATTTGCATATAACTGAACTTTGTCAATCACCAACAGTATCTATCGCTCATGTCGCCTCAAACTCTCACTGAAAACAAATTACCTTTGGTTGCTTTGTTGCTGCAACTCACCATTGAAGCGAACAACCAACGAACCTTGAACAACCAGTAAGTGCTCTTGATTGAAAGCTAAGAATCAAAGTGCATCCTCTCAGAGATCTACAGTCTACATCTGTCCGATGTCTGTGTGTTTGATAGGAATGAATGCAACCTGGTTATGGGTATATACTGCACCTTAAAACTGCATCACTATGCAAACTGTGAGGTAATATAGAGTAATAATCAGATTGCTATGGGACTGACTTCATGATATATGGAGGGACATCATTTAAGGCTGAATTCTAAGCACCATCTTGTACGTTACGTTTTGCATCCATGCGTGTTGGTCTAAATGTAACCGCACCTTTGTGTACAGGGTTCAGGCAACTTGATCTTGAGGATGGAGTGTCGGTACTTTTGCAAACAAGAATAAATAGATTTTTGGTCCATATGGTCAGATATTACCCAAAACAAAAGTAATATCGAACAGATGTGGAGCAAATTTTGTTCCCAGTATGACAGACAAGAACATTTCATATTCACAATAATCCAATCTTCACAATCCCCAGTTGCAAGTATTGCCATGCAACTTGCAGGTTAAATAAGCAAAGGAAGGTCTGGTTAAGACAACAGTGCAAAAAAGATTCTCGCTCAGATCTGGCAGGATCAGTTCTTTAGTTTTTCTTTCAGACTTCTTGACATGGATGTTCTTGACAGTTCCTCTTCTCGACTCTCACAAACCTTTTGAAGGAGACATGAGGTGCAAATCAGCTGTACAGAACAGTGTTTTGTAACAGCCCTAGCCATTAGGAAGCTCTCGAGTCTTTTAGCTCAGCCTAGAAAGTGGGGTTGCCTGAAATATCCCGTTCGGGTGATTCGATGTAGTTGGCAGATTCCTGGAGTTTCAACAGAATCGCCATCTGAATGATGGACAGAACAAGGACAGCTTGTCAGAACAAATGCAGACATGTTCACAAAGGTTCAGGTGTAGCTGTACTGGACACTCACCAGTGGATCGGACTCCATTGTGGGCAGAGACGTGTCCTTGTTGGATGTGATCCTGTCGTCACTGGGCTGCTGTGTTGGAGCAGTGTTGGGGCCGGTGGTTGGCGGAGGGAGGTGAAAGAGTTTGGCCTGGTCCTGTTGAGCTGAAGGCCAGGGCAGCGTATCCCTCACCCACTCCACTGGATCCTCCCATGCTGCTTTCTGACCATGGACCTGAATTATGTGAATGCAGAGATTGAGCTCCAAGACTCCACTGCACTTTGACCAAACACAATGGGCCCTATTTTAACAATCTAAGCGCAATGTCTAAAGCGCACGGCGCAGGTGCCCTTAGGGTGTGTCCGAATCCACTTTTGCTAGTTTAACGACTGGAAAAACGGTCAGCGCACCCGGCGCATGGTCTAAAAGGGTTGTCCCTATTCTCTTAATGAGTAATGGATGTGCTTTGGGCATAACGTGCAATAAACATTCCCTTTAAGAGCCAGTTGCGCTCGCACCATGGCGAATTTGCTATTTACATAGCAGAATTTGCAAGAGCAAAGACAGAACGCGTCTCCAGAGATGAAACGGATGTGCTCGTGTGAGAGCAAATAGGTAGCCTAATTCTGATACATGCAATGACTATCCATTATGACATGTAGGCATTTTTATATTTATGTAGCCTACAAAATAATAATCTTTTACATTGTAATCCTTTCATTTTTAATATTTGGCATGTTTGCGTGCTGCTGCGCATCCCTGTGTGTGTAATAAGCAGAGTGTACGCACGTTGTGCACCCGCCTATACTAACACGCTCTTTAAATAACAAAAAACTACTGCGCCATTGACTTTAGATTAGGTTTTAGTTGGTCAATGGAGCGGTCTATTTCAGTTGCCTCAAAATAGCAACGTGCTAATAATGCGTCTGAACACACCTCATTTTCAGACCAGCATGCCCGTGAGCGCACAAATGGGCGCGAATGCATTTACTATTTAAACAGTGTGGCACAGGACGTAAAAATGATAACTGCGTCAGGCTAAAACTAGCAAAAAACACTTGCGTCGCGCCTGACGCCGCATTGTGTCAGATAGAGCCCAATAAGTGTCATATGATTCACCAAATCAACTGTTTTAGTAACAGATAAACTCTGTCCCAAAACCTATTGAGTGCCTACTTTTGGCCAAAATGTAAAGTCTGGGACATACCAAGCCGACTTGGCAAGCCAAGAACTAGTGGCGACGAAAGTCACTTCGCGTCAGCTGTGTCTGGACCAAAAAGCTGTGCTTCAACAGCCGACTACAGCCGACACCAAACTAGCATGTGCGTTTTGAGGAGGAAATGTCTATTTCAGCAGCTATCAATAGTCTATATTCGTCATTTAAAAAAAAAAACAAGGATATATGAGATATATATTCAACATGTTGAATCGGGCAAATTGCTGCCGATGTGTGCCCCACGAGAGCCGCCGTGTGGAACACACCGCAAAAACTAGCCTGTCAAATGCTCTCCGATGGCCCTATGTTGGCTGACGCCCGGCTTGGTGTGTCCTGGCCTTAAAAGGCAGAATAAACTCTGAAACCAGCCTGAAATGTTTTACTGGTCTCCCAGAACCCCTGTAGTAACAGAAAACCACATGAGCCTGACCAGGCTAAGCACACCAGCAATGACCTGCAAACTAGCTTAAGCAGTATTTTTTCACCAGGGATACAGTAAAGAAAGACAGAGAAACCTCAGAAAACCAAGATGGAGATGGATAAACAAGCATAGAGTTGTTAGCTTCGCAGCTGTTGAAATCAACTGGGAGTGTTGAGTCTCTTGCACTATTTGTATGGTGCACAAGAGTAACCATTAAGAGAGTTGCTCCTTATGAAGTGTGTTTCAATTCAGTCACTTATGAGGAGAGCCATCTTACTGCATAGTTTAGCTCCAAAACACCTACAGTTACAGTTTCTAGTGATCCTGAAGAGCTTAGTTAGGGTTGGAGCTGAACTCTACTGGATGGTGGTCATCCAGGAGAAGGATTGGACACCCCTGATTTAGTAGTCAGCCGCCTATGAACAACTTACCTTCACACCATCCTTAGCTCCCTCCTGAAGATAAGGAATAATGGACTGGTTCCAGAGGTCAATAAACCATGAGCGAAACTCTGCTAACGTTACTGGACAAGACAGGAAGAAGCAGGGACCTGCAAAGACAAGAGCCATCGCTGAGATCTTTTTGGAAACTTGGTCTGAGCGGTGCTAAAACTAAAGCTGAAGCGTAGAACTCCATAATACAAATATAACCTTTGAAAGGCAGTGCGTGGTTCAGATTCATTTGCTGAAATAAATGATTAAATGTTTATTTTCTTTTTTTTCCCTGAAGAGCAATGCATGAAACAGACATTCAGAATGTGTAAAGCTGTACCTATGAGGAAGTCTGAGGTGCTGTGTTTCTCCAGGAAGGTATGGAGATGGTACCAGAGTTTAGGCACCCAGTCCAGAACCCTCAGCACCTCAGCACTGTGAACAGTGCTTTCATCCTCCGCCTCGATCAACTTCCTGTGCAAGTAACGCACTAGGAACCCATTTGCAGGCTCCACGTTGTTGGAGAAGGTGACCATTCTTCAGACAAACAGAAAATTACAAATGAAGTACAGTTGGAATATTGACATGGGATTTCAAATTTCTTTATGAGGATGATATGATGTTATCTTACCACAATCTACAAACTGGAATGAATTCATGTTAAAGAGATGAGGAACTTACCTGAAGCTGAGATGCAGGCCATGATTGGATGGCATCTTAACAGACTGATTGGTGGTTCCAATGACATAAGGACTGAAATAAATATCCAAGAAAATACTTCAAAAGTAAGCTTAATTTTGACAATGAATAACTTTTGTAAAAGAGTGAATTTCACAAAATCTGTCAGGAACACTTCCATGTCATATTTCTCCCCCAAATTATATTTAATAAATATTTCAAATTATATTTTGCAAAAATAAAATTAGAAATGTTTTGTATTTTTTAAGAATTTTTGCTATGTAACATTATTTCCATGAAAATTAAGAATATTTTCTTAATATTGCAGAAATATGCAGAAATAATGATGCATTATTTTAATTAAGTGTTTATTAATTTATGTTAGCATTTGTTCCCCTTCAGGAACTCGAGCTGCGTCGAGATTCGCTTTGGGGAACGCCCCTCCATGACCGCGTTCTGAAGCACGTGTAAAATCAGTCCAATGGAGTCTAGGTTACGTATGTAACCATGGTTCCCCGAGGGAACGAGACGCTGCGTCTCTTTGCCATACTCCCTGCATCCCTCCAGGCGCTACTTCATCGAAGCTAACTTGCGCTCTGCCGGATGCGCTTTTATACTTCCTCGCACTCACGTCACCCCGCTCGTGACGTCTCGCTGCTCCATTGGACTGATTTTACACGTGCTTCAGAACGCGGTCACGCAGGGGCGTTTTCCCAAAGCGACTTCGACGCAGCGTCTCGTTCCCTCGGGGAACCATGGTTACATACGTAACCTAGAGACGTTATACTGTACTGCCTCTAATTTATGCAGGTTTTAATTTAAATATGATTTGTATTATGTACTGTTTCACATTACAGTAGAGAGACCTTGGGCAAAAATGTGCTTAATTGTCATAAAAAAATAAAATAATATAATCTTAATAGTAAAAAGTGCAATTGCTTAATTTTCCCTATGCTACAGCAAAATAATATGCATATTATTTTACCTTAAAATATGATAGTGATATTTTTGAGAGAATCACCAATAACACAATAGTGTTTCCTTAACACACGAGTTTCCTCACTCACCATTTGTGATATTTGCAGGTCAGTGCACTATTGACCAGGTCAGTGATGGAAGACGCGTCACTGATATCATCCACGATAATGACCAATGGAATGTCCTCAGCACCACAATCGCGGTCAATCTGATTGGCCAGATTAGACAGGTACAACTGGAGGTCCTGAGAAAGAGAAGAAAAAAGTGTGGCTTTACAACTGCTGGTCACACCAAACAAGTCAGTGTTTCCTAGGGAAGTGTTATTTCCAGGCTTCACCTTGCAGGTCTGTTGGTGCATGTTGAAGGTGGTGATAAGGCCAGGGCTGGGGTCACGGCCGCTCCTCTCCAGCAGGTACTCAGCCAGTCGGGTGGTGAGGTAGGTCTTTCCCGCGCCGCTGGGGCCCGACAGTACCAGCCGTCGGTGCTTCAGAAGCAGGCTTATGTAGTGTTGCATCATGGGCTTGGGGATAATCGTCTCAAACACCAGACTGTCCACACACTTCTCCTTAAAACCTGGAACAGAGAGTGAGTTCAGGTGAACCAGAGGTCGGTTACCAGTGCCAGAACAATTCAAAAACAGGAAGGAGACACATTTAATAGACAAAATAGAGTAACCAGCCATGACTGTTGACAGTGTCAATGACAAGATATTTTGCCTCTGAACTGGTTTCTGTTTTAGTCACAAAACACTGAGTAGCTCCGCCCACAGTCAAATCTCATTGGTCCACAATCTCGCTCCATTACAAAATGGCAATACTAGCATTTGTGATCTCTAGATCTAGATCTCTGCAAAACACACAACAACGACTTGACGCTTGAAGCCTCACATTGTACCTGTGTAGGACGGGGTGTATAAAATGAGGTGTAAGAGAAGTTGCTTAAGAAAGATTGAAAGTGTGAGTTTTTCACCTTTAAGGGTGACAGTGACGAGTCCAGGACCCTTTTTTAAACAGTCACAGGGTGAACTTTCTGGGGCTTCGGCTCCAAGCACCCTCCTGCTCTGATTAATACTGTAACTGTGGATAGAGTCGACAGACAGTCCCATACTCGCACTGGGATCCACCTGCGAAATGTAGTTCTGACGTCCGAATACAAAGAACACGTTAGATTAAATAAATATTATAATTAAATACATTAAATTACATTTATTACATTAAATTACATATCTATCTATCTATCTATCTATCTAATATACTGTATAGTAAAAACACACACATCCACACATATATTTTAATGAAATATCAATTGAAAAATAGCAATTAAATAAAAAAATATATTTAAAACAATTTACAATAAATATAAAATATTTTTAAAAAAAAATTAAATAAAGGAAAAAAATACTGAAAATCAATTGACTTTTGATAATATGTTTGCCATTAAATATCAACAGCAATGACATGGTGTTATTTGCATAGTAAAACATAATTACATTATTACATTATGTACATCTTTTTGCAAACTAAATTACGATTGTAAAATTACGATTTTCCTTGTTTTTGCATATATTTAAACATTTATAGCCATCTTTACACCACAGAATGAGATCATACCCCAAAAGCTGTGGAGATGTCCGTGTCTAACACAGACCACTCCGTTTTCCCATGAATCCTCACAGAGCCGATGTAGAAATCCTGCTGCCTCACCTGCTGATTGTATATCAGATTGCTTATTTAGTGCATATGATCTAATGTTCATGTATTTAAAGCTATCTCAATTCTGTTTTCACGTGTTCACCTCTCTGGACACTTGCTTGTCAGCTATACGGACCACCACACGCGTTAAGGCCTCGTCTCTCTGAGATGGCAGACTCAGTAACTCCATAGGAGCAACGTCTGTGAGATAGATAGAAAGAATGACTTGACTCCATCAGACAGTGACATATCTAGATTAGTAATGGGATGCAATGCTTGGAGCCACCAAGCTTTCAATTTTAAAGCAAACAACAGTATCAGATGACACAACTAAAGGAACTCACCAATGTTGGAGCACTCATTGAGACTGAGGCTGAAGGACTTGGTGAGGCTCATGGGTGGTTTGGTTTGGTTGGAGTTCAGGAAGCTGGCCAGACCAGACGGCTGGGAGGTGGAAGTAGAAGGTGGGCCGCAAGGGAGGACAAGGGATGATGGAGCACTTCCTGTTTTCAGCTGATCGTTCTCTGCCTTCAGACTGTCCACCATCCTCTACAATGAGAGATTTTATTTGAATTAAGGTTTTCTTTGCAGTGCTTCATATGCAAAGTCATTAACTGCAGTGACATTTGTGAAATTTCACATGCAAAAAAGGTCAATTTTCTATTATGTGTGTGTGCATAATAGAAACAACCCGGACTCTGTTTTAATCATTCTCTGAGACTTTAATAAAGCAAATCTTTCCCGTGAACTGCCAAAATACAGACAGCATGTTACATGTCCCACCAGAGACAGTAATATACTGGATCACTGTTACACCACAAGAATGCATATCACTCTGTCCCACGGGCAGCTTTGGGGCTCTCTGATCACTGTTTGGTTCATCTTATACCGACCTACAGGCAGAAACTGAAATCATCTAAACCTGTATTAAGGACTGTAAAAAGATGGACTAATGAAGTAAAGCGGGATTTACAAGCCTGCTTCGACCTCACTGATTGGAGTGTCTTTGTGAGCTCATCCAGAATCAGTGGCAGTGGCTTGCACTACATCCTGCAACATCTAGAAAGACCAGGGACTTATGTGAGGATCCTGTTTGTGGACTTCAGCTCGGCTTTCAACAGCATCATCCCAAACCTCCTCCTGTCCAAACTAATTCAGCTATCCGTGCCCACCTCTGTCTGTCAGTGGATCACCAGCTTCCTGACAGACAGGCAGCAGCTAGTAAAGC